AGTCAAAGTCGTGACCAAGTTGTGGGCTGGAGGAACAAGAACCATGATTGAACAGTCTGCAGAGATACTACAGTAGATGTAAGAGAGAGTAATAGACATATCCTGGAGGCTACGAAGAAATTTGATTCCTAGCTGACAATTTCCAGCTAAGTGCTCTTTGTGTTTCTAATGTTTAATTTCTCTGATAGTCCACTGTGTATTTTCAGTAACTCCCTTTTTGCTTGAGATGGTTTTACTGGTTGTATCCCCCACATTATAACGTCACATACTTTAACTCAAAGTGTGATTTAGATAAAAAGTTTTTTGAGTACAGCCAAAATAGATATTATTCTGGGCTAAAGCAGTCTAAGAGGCTTTATGGAGGAGATGAAACTTAAAGTTGATCTCAAAGGGAAATATATATCTGAGTGGAGTCGGTCCTTCACATACCTCAAAATTCCCCTTTGTAGTTCATACTTTGCAATCTTTAAAAATAAGTCACTAGTTTATTCTTTGCACTCTTTTGCCATTGGTTGCTAATAGTTTCTTCTTTATTTGCTTCCTCTGTTCAAGGGTGACCTGTCTAGTACTTTGTGAAGTCTCAAGTTTCAATATCTTCTGTCTTAGTCTTATTTGGTTTTATATGCTCTATTCCAGGCAAAGAGCTACAGCTAAAACTTACAGAAATGCTATTGAAACTCTACAGAATTATTTCTATTTTCACTGCAAACTGGCTGATCCTTAGATGTTTATTTTGTTCCCCTAAAGACATAGGATCACTTTGGGTAGCATTAGCCCTAAATGAGGATCAGAACATTAGGTTTCCATTTCAACTTAGTGCACCCCTTTGTGGCTCTCCAGGACCTTGTCTCACACTCCTTGTCTGGAAAGAGAATGAGCCCCCAAGATCTTGGTTCCTTGTATGTCTCAGTGTATCATTATAGGAATAAATGAGGTCATGTTCATAAGACGACTTAATATCTTCATTGTGGTGAAATACCAGAGATTGCAAATCCACCCAGCAATTGTTGCCATAATAATGAGAGTGAGCAATAGAGAATCTAAAAAGAGAAGTGGTTTTCTTCTTTTTCTGCAATTGAGAAGTGAGAAGGAGGGGAGGGTAGAGAAATAAAATCCAGTCTCACTTTGACTTAGATGGCATCTGACTTTCCCCTGGAGGTAGATGAAGATAAGAAAAGACTCAAAAGCAGTGATTTCCTAGTCATTTACTCTGCATCAACACAGCCTTGCCACTGTCCCCTTTGAGAGAGCCCTGGTGAACACAGCTCTGTCCTTTACTAACGCTTTCCTACTTGTTGGGATAAATGGTGACATTTGGTATAATGGCAGTGCAGGTCAGATTGAATAATTACTTTGCTGTAAAGGGATCCTGGAGTAGAAGGCAGAGTTGTAAGCAACGCAAGACAGGAGGAGTATTAAGTTTGCAATGGTTAATGAAATAAGGGCCTCATTCTGCATGTTTTGGATGGCTGATATTAACGTGCAAGCAGCAAGCATTCTGGCATGCATTGGCAAAAATGTCAGGCAAGACTGCATGAGTGATAATGTTCCCTGTGAAGAGAAAAACTAGGGGCCAGAAGGCAACCAACTAACTATCATAAAAGTAATTAATTGTTTTACTTTTTAATGGTCTGGCAAAATTGCCTTTCAAAAAAAATGAATCATACAAATGGGACTATGATGTCAGACAGACTGTCCATTGAAGCTTAAGAGACTAGTTCCTGCTGTAAATTATGATAATGAGTTAGTTTTAGAAATGTTTTATGAGGTTAAGAAGTGCAATGTCAAATTACTTTTCTTCAATCTCATTGCTTTGAATGCTTTTCAGAATACACAGGCTCACACTTCCTTTTGAAAATTCCTTCCAAGTTTACTGGTTGCTGTTTTACCAGTCAGGTCTTTCTCTGAGGATGGTATTAGTGCATAATTTTCATGACTCAGCTTAAAAAGAACAAGACCCCATTGTTGGCTTTCTTGTTTTTGCACCGGCATTATTGACAAGATCTGTATAGCTCTTGCAAAAAGGTCTGTTGTCTAACCAAGCTACTATGGAAACTTGATCCAGGCCATTTAGCAACCTAACGCCTTTTACTCTTGAATTTGGGAAGAATTTTAAAGCCAGTCAAACTTCACTCAGAAAATATTCATCAGGGCAGGGTCACGGCTTGTTCACTGCACATTGCTTTCCATCTTAGATCAGCTTTGTAAATAGACTGGCTGGCTCAGGCTGAGAGGTGACACTGCCCAAGTGGTCATTGCAAAGCATGCAGATTCCACCTGTTTTATTCCTTCTGTTCTGGCTAAGCAAGAACAGGGAGAAACAAGAGTATCACTTCTTTTTTTAAAAAAGATTTATTTTATTTATGCATGCATGCAAGAGCTGGGGTATAGGCCAGAGGTGTAGGGGGTGGTGAGAGGATTCACCAGAGACAGAGTAGAGAGCAGAACAGGCAGATCTACTGAAATACACTGCTGAGGGGAGCAGCAGGCCAGACAGGAGAGGTCTGAGGTACCATGTGGGTAGCTCCCTGGCTGGGGATCAAACTCATGCTGCGGTGGTGAAAGCTTCATAGTGCTGAGACTTAACTACTTGCACCACCAGGGCGGCCCTCACTTCTTTTTTAAAAAAAAAATTCACACCCACAAAATTGATAGGAAAAAAGTGTAAATGCCCGTTTTACATTTGCATTTCTATATATAAGAGTTATAGAGCATTTTATATTTCAAAGTTGAAACTTTACCTCAAACCTCCAGGTTCTAAAGAGAAATGTGGTCTATACTCTTGCTGTCCCATGAGAATCTTCCTTTCCTCACCCCTTTCCTTAAGATACCAACTTGGAAATGCAAAGAAAGAAGCCATGCATCACGCTGAGAGCCAAAACCAGGAGTGCCCCTGGCGGTGGCTGGTCAAGGACTTTCCTCAATAAATTCTTCAGGCCATTTCCTTTCCTTGTTTATTGCTAAGTATCCTGAGGTCTTACAAGGGTAGAGAGAAGCTTCACTGCCAGTCTCTTTGGGTATAAATCTCATCTCTGTGAAACAAGTCTTGCAACATTTACTATGTGGTTATTCATCATTATCTATGATTCATATGTACTTAAACTTTATGATGCCTTTGACCACAGGCATCTCTCCTGAAACATGGGCCAGAGGGATAGCGCCATGGGGACGTTTCTTGTGAATACTGAAAAGGTTCCTAATGATATGGCAACCAGGGAATGGGTATCTGTGAATAACGGCTTCCTTCTTGGGACTTGATAGACCACAGGATGTGCCTGGGGTGTGTGGGCAGGATTGCAATCTGAGGATTGCAGCCTTTTCATGTTCTCCTTTCATTCTCTCCAGAGGTGTTGATATAATTTTGTCATTATCTGAGGTAATTGAGATAACTCAATACACATACTCTACCTTAATTCTTGTCAATATTTCAAACTCTTTCCTGTCAGATCTTTTTTGCAAGGTAGGAAACCAGTACCACTCAGGTTTGTCTCTCCCCTCCTCCATCCCTTTGTTCAAATTATGTCAATAATGAAGTTGTAAAAACTAAGGCAGAGAAAGCGAAAAAAAGCAAAATATTTTCAATAGTCTAATGCTGGATGATCCTCCCTCAGTGAGGTCATTCCTAGCGCAGAGGGTTCAACTGAAGTTCGGATGTGGCTTGACCAACTCTGCTAGATTCCTCTGGGAAGGGGGCAGTTTCCTTTATAGATTCCAAGGTACAGACAAAGAGATCTCAAGAACTGATCAGGTTCTTGGGAGATTTAATGAGAGATTGTGAGACTGGTGGAAGTGCTATTGAATTGTAAAATACTAGATTAGTCATTGGTTCAATCAACCCATTTTATTGAGTAGACACTATGGGTCACGCACTGTTCTAGATGCTTAGAATATGTCACTGAACAAAAACAAAACAGAAAGCCCCCACAAAAAATGCTAGCCTTCACGGAACTTACATTTCAGTAGAAATAAAACCACTAAATATATAATGAGTAAGTTATGATAAAGGTCAGGGGATGTTCTGATGATAAGAAGTATTCATTCACTTGGGAAACCTGAAAAGACCTCACTGAAAAGTGAAATTTGAGGAAAGAGTTTTGAAGGGGGTGAGGGAATTTTCTCCAAGGTTATCTGGACAAAGGCCCTGAAGTGGGAGCCTGCTCATGCATTTAAAGACATTAAAGAGGCCTGAGTAATGGGGAGAGTAATAGGAGAGGAGGTCAAAGGTAATATAGGGTGGGACAGAGCAAATATAACTCTCTGTTTGCTCTGTCTCTGCCGTTGTAAGGACTTTGGCTTTTACTCTGCAAGAGATGGACAGTTTGAGCAGAGGAGTAACATGATGTGACCTTTTGAAGGGATTATTCTGGCTGCTATACTAAGAACAAAGTGTAGGTGGATAAAGGAGGCAGAGAGACCAGTTAGGAGGCTGTTAAAATAATCAAGGTGAGAGATGACAGTAACTCAGACCAGAACAGTAGGAATAGAGGAGAAAAGCGGAGGATACTAGATATAGTTTAAAGGTAAAACCAAAACGATTCCCTTTGCGTGGGTGGGTGAGTGAGTGACCTCTAGTTCTAGGAGTAAGCACTCTGATATACCTGAATAGGAGCAGAAGTGCCCAGTGAGAGCATCCCTTGTAATCCTTAGCCCAGTGAGAACAGAGACAGCAGTAGTGAGAACAGCAGCAATTTGAGGCTGGTCTGGCTCTGCTTGGTCCAAGATTTCCAGCTTGTCTTCCCTGTTTCTCTCCTTGCTTGCTTGGCTGAGATACCTTCAGGGTGATATACCAAAAATAATATTAAATTTATTCTCTGCAATTCATTCATATATTTATCCCACAAAAACATATTTAGCACCTGTTTTGTGTGGGTCACTGTGCTGGATGCTGAGGGCAGGAGACTTGCCATTATGCATTGGTTTGGCCAGCCAGGCTGCCATCTCTGCATCTCACCTCACAATGATCTCATTCAATTTATTCAGTTCCTCCCTCTCTTTTACAGATGAAGAAAGTGGAGCTCAGAATGATTAAATAAATTTCCAAGGTCACAACTAGTTATGGGTAAGCTATGATTTGAACCTAGGTGTGTCTGACCCACTGGTTACTTTTATCTTCCATAGATACTCTAAAACTGGTCCTTTTCTGTAAAGGACCAGAAAGTAAAAAGTTTAGGTTTTGTGGACCATGCAGTCTCTGTTGCAACGACTCTGCCATTAGAATGGGAACTCTGCCATACACATACTTAAACTCCAAGCATGGCCGTGTTCCAATGAAACTTTATTTATGGACACTGAAATCTAAATTTTATATCATTTTCATGTCATGAATTATTATTTGACTTTTGATATTTTTTTTTTCTTTTTGGCAACCATTAAAAAATGTAAACCCCAGTCTTAACTCATGGGTCATTAGAAAGGAGGCAGCAAGCATCTTGGACAATAGCGGTCAACCCCTGCTATAAAAAAAAATATAGGCTCTTACCTGATAAGTTTAAACCTAGGAATTGTCCACATATGATATGTCAGTTATATTTCAATCTTGATAAATGGGATTTAGAGATGAAGAATCTAAGGCCCATGGGGCCATTACTTGCTGAGGGCCACAGAGCAGATGTGACAGGCCTGGGCCTGCTGAACTAATTCATGGGCTTTTACATGGCTCATTTCCACATCATTCCTGGTGTCTGCTTGCAGTGGAATGATGAGGGCAACCATTTCCCAGGAACATCATCAGGGGCCATGCTGTATCAAGGTGTACTAAGCTTGCAGTTCTCAATACTAAAATCTTGAGACCAGAAGGAAAACAAATCCTGGGCTTGAGGAGACTTTAAGAGGACACATAGGGGTTAATGACAGACTTTCGAGAACCTTAGCTTCCAACCCCTGAGCTGAACAAAACAGTTGTCTCTCATCAGTCTCTTTGCTCTGAATTTAGCTATCTCAGTATATTCTCTCTCCCAAACAGTAAGGCCAAAACGGGTTAGAGATATAGCATTTCTGGTCCATTGTGTCTCTGAGTGCCCAGGAATGGTACAGGACCTGCCATACCGGCTGCAACTTGTCAGATTCCTCCTAGAATCTTGATGCCCAAGACAAAAAGAGTGCTATGGTTTGATTCCACATTAATTGTAAGTCTTCAAATTAGCACATGTCATAATTTTAAGACATTTGGAGAGAAACAAATTGATGAAAAATATCAGTCAAGCACAGAAAAAAGGTGCCATGAACCACCATTGCCTTCAAGGGGTTATGTAGAAAATAAAGGAGATTCTTGGAGAAGGAGGAGGAACAGTATTTGGGAAATCAGTAGCTTTATCTTTTTAGAAGTTGCCCCTCAAAGGATTTCTCCTGAATGGGGTCCAGAACTGCCTATGTCACATCATCAGTGAGGGGACCCTGGGAGGACACTGGCTCTTCAATTCAGAAGTTAGGGGCTGAATTACCCTCACTTGAAAAGATGATCTGAGGTAACGAGATTCCACTGGTTAAAATGAGACTGAGAGAGCTGATAGAGGTGAAGTGGTAAACCAAGAGCTGGAGCTGTGGCATGGTGTGTTTCAAGTTGAACTTAAGAAGAAATTGAGAATCAAGAGGAGGTAAAATGTGGTCATGATGGAAAGCTAGAGTCAAAACTTCTTGGCTGTGTCATCAAGAACTAGCAGTTCCCTCCAGTTCTTGCCTCCAGGATGCCTGACCTTACCAAGGATCCTACCTATTTTTGAATTTTTATAAGATTCCTTTCTACTAAGGTAAATCCCTTTTACTTGAGAGTGCTTGAGTGAATGTCTGTTCCTATCAACCAGAGGAGAGGTAACCAAAACATATTCATTCATTTGCTCAATCAATATTTATTTTTAACCCTAAAGATCTAGCAATGAACATGATAAAATCACTGCTCCTATGGGGTTCACATTCTAGGGGGCCATAAAGAAACTGAACAATAAATGAGTATATACTATACCAAATGCTGGTAAGTGCGGTGAAAGAATGTGGGAAATAGGATGCAGATAGAGAAAATGACAGAAGTCCTTACTGACAGGTGACATATGAGTAGACACCTTTGGAGGAGGGGGAGCTAATTCTACAAATATTGGGGAAGCAGTCCAGGCCAAGTGTATAGCGAATGCAAAGAAAAGTCTGTACATGATGTGCAAGGTTGATGTACAAGCCTGTACAAATATCAGTCAGGAATTCTGTGTGCCTGGACCGAGTGGGTGAGCATAAAAGTGGTAGAAGACATAGCAGACAGGCTACAAGAGGTTGCAGACTACTCTTTTTCACACCAGGTCTTCTGGAAGTCCTGGAATCAGGAATTAGAATACAAAGTTCTTCTTTCTTGAAAGATTCCAAATTTCACTTCAGCCCCCTGACACTAAAATAGTCTGTGGCTGGTATTTTCCATACTCAGAAAATGAAACAAATATATTAGGAAAGATAAAGTGATTGAGAAATTCTCTTCCTTCTTAGACCCAGTATATCACACAGAAAAAATATACAGTATTGCAGGATTGAAACAAGACTAAAGTTTTACTGATCTACTTCAGCTCTTGCCTTCATGAGAGAGTGCCCCCAAGTTGTCCCAGAAATGCAGGCCTCTCTCCTTGCTTAGAAGAGCTCCAAATGAGGAATTTCCACAGCTTTCTTTGGAAACACCATCTGCAAACCTGACACTGAACTTGTGCAATTGTGCATGAAAACATAAAGGCTTTCCCTCTGATGTACTGCTACTACCAAAAATGTCACCAGGTGACCCAATTCCTTCATTCAAATGTTATTTTTAGTAGATGTCAGATAAAGGAAAAATAACATTATGAAACTGAGAACAAATCCCTGCTAAGCCTCCTCTTTTCATCCACGCCACCCACAGAGGACAGGGTGACACTTGACCATTCTCTCTCAAGAAGATATCTGACTAGATCCCAAAATAGTCATGTTTCAGCCAAAAGATGAGTTTGCCTTTTCTCTTCCAGAGAAAATTGAAACTGTCCCCAAATTAAGTTCCTAAATGTATAATAACTCTGCTAAGTAATGGACTTGAATAGAATACCACTCCTCCAGAGACAGAAATAACATTAATAACTATAATTTGCATACAACTGCTCCTCAGATTTACAATCAATCTGAGAGACTGTATTTGCCTCTGTGTCTTCTATGAAAAGTCTAAATGTTGACCCATGATCCCTAAAGAAAATGCATGAAAATGAAGTATCACCAAATCTCCCACTCAGCTCTCATTAGAGACACATCAACGGTCATTTTTGTGTCTGCCTTTCTGCTGGTGGTGGCTCTGTGTGTGTGTGCACATGGGTGTGCACACGTGTGTGTGAAAGTGGATCTGCACAGGATTTGGGGAATCGACATTAGGAATCTGCCTTCTGCTCGCCCCAGTGAATTTCCACTTTCTTTTCTTTATTGTTGTATTTTTTTCTTACATCATTTTTAATTTTTGGACAGTATTTTCTATTTCTTTTAACTTGGAAGCCAAGAATGGCAAAAAGAACCTTTTTTGCTCAATTGTCAGAAACAGACTCTTACCATCTGTTTGCCAGGGTGCAAAAAATGAAATTGCTCAAGATAACACTTAGGATTTGATGGCGAATGCTTTCTTTCCACAAAATATAGTGCTATTGTGACCATGGCACAGGTTTGATTCCTTATGGGTCACGTAGAGCAACACAGTGATAAAACTCGGCTTTGCAGTCAGTGTTTCTACCTCCTGAATCCTGATCAGTTGGTCTTTGACTGTTTGCTATTGACTAGATATAGGCAGCGACATGAGTTGAGTATGATTCCATAAAAGTCAGCATGAAGGACGTGACTCAAAGGGCTGACCTGCCAATGGGAAATGCCATCTGTATGAAATAATGGTAAAGTGACAGCATATTGCCAACACTCAGTGCTTATATAAATATAAGGAGCTCAACATCTGTATGCAGATGTCAATGTTACCAGTATTATTTATATACCCAATAGAGCCTAGTGGTTAAGCTATTGCGCTCCTGAGTCAAAAAAAAATTTAATTTCAAAATCTTCCTTACTAGCTGTGTCATCAAGGATGAATTAATGAACTTTGTTAAGCCTCACCTTCCTGTCTGTTAAGTAGAGATTTAACAGTACCCAGCTCTTTATTATGAGGATAATGAGATGATACATGTAAAGCACTTTGCATAATATCCCCATGATAAGCATTCAATAGCATTGAGATGTTATTGTGCAGCGATGTCTGCTGTATCAGGATGTGTTAAGCATTCAGTGAGATAATCCAGGTAAAGAGATTAACAAAGTGCCTAACTCACAGTAAGGGCTCAATAAATGCCAGCTACGCTAATCGTGATAATGATGGCAATGACCAGAGTGGTAAGTAACTCACAGATTTGTACTGCTGGCTAGTGAGAGAGTGGGGAATAGAATCTGAAGATACTGTTACTTCTATACTATCTTTATATGTCAAAGTATGAGCTAAGAACTGGTAATGAAAATTCTTCTTCCTGAATCAATTTATTTTACTTGGCATCAGCACACCACTTCTAAATATTTGAAAGCATTACTTCTCCTTACTTTGGGGGAATTCAGGTTCTTCTAGAACCACACTTATAACAAAAGTCACATCCTTCACATCATGAGGTAATCACCTTTTCATTTTCAATAAAATTCATTGGTCATTTTTCATATAGTAAGAGTTCATCAGTTCTGGAATCCACTGAGTATCACAGAGAATGACAAACCCCTACTAAGGTGAGGTTCAAAATGATAAATTCCTGCCTGTCATAGAACCCCAGGATCACTCACAAATAGCAATAATTGTAGATTGTAAAAATGCCAGAGTGAAATCTGCAAATGCTAAGCATCTGCCCTCCCCATTTATTTCTCAGAATATTGTCCTAGAAAAAATATTTGGAGAATTTGGAGAAAAGCCTGAAAGAATTTCAAAAGAACATTAACCTTACATTGTCTCTTGGTATTCAAGTTTCCTACAAATTCAAATTTAATCAAATTCATTTTTAAAAGTTTAAATAAAGAGCCATGATAATAGACCTGACCTGGTGGAGAGAAAATTATTGTTTTAATCCAGTAATCCATCATGGTTGTTGAG